ACATAAAAGTTTCATTTAAGAGAAGAAAAATAATTATATTAAATACTGCATTTATATAAAGCATATTACTATATATAAATACATGTATACCTGTATGTACATAAGTAACAGTTGTTATATGTATGTACAATAGATCTGTATATAAGAGTATAATGTAAGTATCTGCATATGTATGTTTGTATATATATATATATATATATCTATGTAATTTATGAAAGTGATTCTTATATGCCTCTATACAGAAGGACTGAGCTCTTCTGGTTTCCTTGTTAAGTGTTTTTTTGCAGTTATTATATAATTCATACTTCTGTATAAAACGCATAAATAAACGCTTCATAACACATTATTTGAATGCATTCAATTACTGATGGGAAATATTAAATTAAGTGGGTGTATAGCTAAGTCTACGACTGTGATTATTCCTCACTTTCTCATTCAACCCACATTTTAGCTTATTTTTGTAAAGAAAAGATACTCCAAATACGCTTTACAAATTTTCTTGCGAATTCGAAAATATGGCAAAAAAAAACACAAGTAAAAAAAAGTTTTAGTCTCAAATTGAGACAAATTAAAAATAAATGCTTAAGGTCCGAAATTTGAGTAAGCCTTTGGTGGACCATTAAACAAAAGTGAGAAAATAACGGTGATATTCAAACTTCTTAAGGATAATATAATATTCCATTCGTTTGGTGGTAAATACTTCTGGCCCGTGTATGACTTTTTAAGTCAAATCGGTGCTGCCAGTTAACACATCATAATGCTCTTCATCTGTCACATCTGATGTTCAGTACATACGTTAAGCGAAATCACATCGCATGGTCATGGAGCCTCAGTTGTAATATCAAATGGACTTTTTAAACTTTTTAATGTCTCATAACCGGGTGCACAACAAAGTAGTTGCTCTGATCTACAGCAGCAATACTTTCCAATGAACGCATTGGTCGAGCACGTACACGAGTTTTTCTATTTTATAGCTACACATTTAAGTAAACTCGGTACCCAAATTGATCCACAGATCTCCCAGGAAAGGATCTAGATCTTAATAAGTCGCCACCGAACGGCGGAGGGTTTTTTATGAGGAGGATTTCATGTCCGAAATACACTCGGCGAGGTTTATTTAACTTAATTTTTTAAACAAATTATTTGGGATTTTGGTGGTCAGTAGGCAATGCTATCCACTCTGCTACCGCGGCCGCCATTGTCTTCCAAATTTTAGTATCCCCTGCCGCCCACGCCTTAGTAGACGAACGCTGTTTCTGAAGGAAACTGAGTGCATGTACAGACAGACGTTATGTGAGTGAATGTGGAGGACTTTACGAAAGAATCTGTGTGCTCTGTATAAGCTCAGACATGTGTCTTCAATAAGATGAACTGAAATTTGTTCAGCAGCGTCAAAGATGATCCGACTAATACGGAGAATAAAGACAAAAAAAAGGTATGTAGGCGGCGGAGTTTTACTATGTCATGCATGAGGACCGATCTTTTGGGAAGATGGTTGCATAGAGAAGAACCTCTCTCATCTTAACTTCTGGGTACTCTGCAATCAGGCCTAAGTGAGCTCTTACATCACAGTTATCCTTTCTTTTTTACCTTCTGCCTTCTTAAAAGCTTTATAAGATTCCTGCTTGAGATTTTGTAAGCAAAATCTGGTAAAGTACTAGAATTTAAAAATGCCAATTTTGTTAACTCTGACTTCGATGAACAATAAATCGGGTTTAAAAGAACTTTTAAAAAGAGCTGGGGACCAGTTCAAAGTTATGACGCTCAATCGTAACGTGGAAGCCAAGTCGCGTCCTGCTCTCACTAAGAGAGAGTGATTAGATTTATCAAGCCTTTAGTCACACTGCTAAGGTCAAAGACCACACTGAAGCAGATTTTATGATCAACCTTCTTGTGGATTGGACTGAGCACGCTTAGATTTAAATCGTGGGTTGTATGTAAGGTTAGGTTGCTGTAGCTACCGATCTAACAGACTGGATTCACTTAGGCCTGACTTAGATTTATTGTTATATTACAAAAACTTAAGCCATCAGACTTCATCCTCCATCCATTTTGATTCTCGAATGAATCTCATTACATCCATGACTTTGACGTCAGCTATCTTCGATAGACCATCCAGCAGTAGAGTCTCAAAATTAAGAAACCTCGCCCTGCTTAGTGACAGGACAGACACATAAGAGATGAGTGAACGTTTCCTCCTCTTCATCCTCTTTGCAGCTTCTGCAGCATCTTCTGTAGGGAGCCCCTTGTTTTCCTGCGTGACACCCTTTTAGACAATGGCCTATCAGAACTCTTATAACTTTGAGCATGTCGCTTTTTTTAAGGAGTATATATCTCGTGATTTCTTCTTATCCCATTTCGGCCAAGTTTGCCTGATTTTGCAGCAGGATGTGATGTCATTACACTTTGTAGTGGCTTAGTCATATATGAATTCCTTGAGTAGCAGTTTGCATGTAGCACAAGGCATACCAATGCGTTCTTTATCGGGAATAAACTGCTTGGTCGTACCCCGCTTAGCAAGTTCATCCGCATTACAGTTTCCTTCGATATCCCTGTGACCAGGGACCAATGCGAGAGACAGTATGTTTTGTTTGTTTGGTCTCCTGTAGAGATGGGCGACAGTTAAGCACTAATTTGCAGTTTAGCGTAAGTGAGCCCAGTGCTTTTATTGCTGCTTGACTATCGCTGAAAGTGAAGATATCTTTACCTCTAAAGCTGGCTCCAATTTGCTTTGCAGCCTTAATGATAGCAGATATCCCCGCCTGGAAAATACTGCAATGGTCAGGTAGCCTAAACGAAAGTTCCATCGGAGGGTTTTCTGAGAAACCTTCGCCAACTCTCCCTTCAAGCTTTGACCTGTTGGTGTATATTTGCTATCATTTAGAGTGGACCTGTCCATTCTTCTCTGCTGGAAATTCGTATTCTAAAGTGATTATCAGTTACTACTATTGAACCACATCTATCAGTATAACTTGGTTTGAAGTCGTAATTATCTTAGTATTGTCGAGTGTGCCCATACCTGGTTGTAAGTTCTTCGTCACCGCTTTTTTAGCTGACTGTGTTGTTTTGTTTGCTCTTTGTTGCTATTCGGAAAAATGTTATGCAAAAGTTTTATATCTTCAACAAAAAAATATTTTTCAAAACAAAAATGATTTAAGGCCTTATAAATGAAATGCGAAGGTGTAAAGAATTATAATTGAAATGCATCACTGCCACTTCCACTCCGACATCGAAATCGCAGCGATGAAGTGAAAAGTGTTAACAGCGTAAGAATTTTTTAGTCCATTTTCATCAATTGATGTATATGCCATTATATTATGTCTTTATATGTACATATGTATAAATGTAGTCATGTAAGTCGACAACTTCGATACTGGCGCATAAGGAAATACATTAAATCGAGACGAATCCAATTGCACTGAATCGAATTTGTTTGAAATGAAAGCAGCAGGATTCACCCATTGATGAGCACATTAGCGACTGTAACAACAACGACAACACCACCAACAAATACAATAACAAAAGTCTATAATCAACACCAACGCTAACGATGAATATATGAACATTGAATATAAGGATACATATATGTATATACATATGTACAATACATATGTATATATGTGCAAGCGAAAATTCATATAATCACATGCACATGTATCTACACATACTTATATGTAAATTACACATATGCATACATAAAGAAGGCTGAAGAATGAGAACAGCGGGCAACAAGCAATAAAAATGCGCTCAACCAGCCGAATATAATGTGCATGGGAAAATCAACAGCACACACTAAGCAAAGCCAAGCCAATTGGATGGACGCACGCATGGATATAAGCTCCCACACACGCTTGTGCACATGTATGCACACATCCAAAGGTTAAAAATTGCATGGAGGAACAAATGGAAAAAAGCTAAAACGCCAGGATGCGCATGTCTCGCTGAGGAGCCCCAAAGAGAGAGAGAGAGAGAGTGAGAGAGTGAAAGCGTGCAAAGTGTGTTTATAACTTAAAGTGAGCGCCAACTAATTTTGCATATAGTGACACACACATACATATGCCTTGAAGAAAATACCACGAATGTCTGCTTGATTGTCTGCTGAATGCGTTGCGCTCCTTGGAAAGTCGCCTAACTTAACTGGATATACGGTGGGCGGCAATACCTTATGTTCGGTGGGTGGTGGGTTGTATTTGCCAGCTTTTTGGAGCATACACAGACACTGGCTGGCACTGGAATTCCAGCCTGAATGGCGCTACAAATGCCATCAAGGTATACATAGGCATGTTCGGTATGCGATGGACGAGCGCTGCCAGATAGAAGTTACCTTTGCTCTGGCCTGGACGATGCACGGTGGTCGTCTGGTGTAGCGAAAAATATTTTCCCAACTTTTAAAGTGTGTGTGTGCAGGATTTTTTCATTACAAAAGTATACATTTTGTAAAGTGAAAATTTGAAAATAAAAAAAATAACTGAAAATTTTTATTTCAAATTTCAACAAAGTTTAAAAAAAAGAATAATTCAATTTTGCCAAACAAATGCAGAAAATATAAATAAATTTGATTTGTTTGCAAAATTGCCGTGTTTCAATAAATTCCGTTAAGCAAATAAAAAAACTGCAGTGGTTTTGTCTGATTGAAGAAAGGAAATTTCAGAAAAAATTGAAATGTTATAGCAAATATTTTTCAAATACATATATTTATTATAGCTAAAGGCTACGGTGTGCAAAAGTTTTCGCCCATGTCGAAGGAAAACTCTTGAAATCGTGTCACGGAAAATGTAACAACTAAAAGAAAAAACAGAAATTTAGAAAAATTAATTGCATATAAAACCGTAATTATTTGCGAACAAAAGTGCTATTTACAAAAAAAAAATAACAGTTTATCTAACTACAAAAATAAATAAATAAATAAATAAATAAATAGGTAAAAAAATTAAAATAAATAATTTTTACAATTTAATTGAAAAAGTGTTTCGCAAATCTTCCACTCGCTAACGAAATAAAAACACCCAAAGACAGTGGCGTCGCACGAGAATACCAACAAGAGTGCTGCTGGCAGTGCAGCCGATGCTGGTGGTGCTGGCACAAGTGGTGAATCGGACGCGCTGTTCTCCAAACTGCGAAGCTTCTCCATCGGCAGTGGCCCGAATTCGCCACAACGCGTAGTCTCAAATCTACGCGGTTATCTAACACATCGCCTCAGTAATATCACACCGAGCGATACAGGTGAGTGTAGCTAAATTCCTCTTGCTAGTGCTGGTAAAGCAGGTGTGCGCAGGAAATTTGCAGGATAATTGTGGAAATACTTTAATGCGTATACATATGTACATATAGGTATATATATGTATGTGAAATTGTGTATGTGCTAATAAGAAAAAAAAGACAATTTGCAGTTTGTGGATGAAGTCATTTATATATATATATATATATATATATATATACATATATAATGACGATTGCTACCCACGAACGCATTTAAACGTTATTGCAGTGATCGTTACAAAATAATCGTTAATTGAAAATTCTACATAAATATTATACATACGAAGTGTATACATATACACATATAAAACGTATATACTCTCATATATGTATATATATACGTGTATATAAAACATTTCTTCTGCATATGTGAAAATCGCGCAGCCATGAAGAAAAAATGCCTCTCAGGTGTTGGTTACATAAAGTGTATCTATCTGTGTTGTATACACAAAAAATTATCACTGAATTTGTGGTTTGGCCATAATATTTTTGTTCTGATTATGTAACTGTTGTTCTGTAACCTCAATTTTTTTTTGTGGATAAAATTTAGTGTTTTAAAAATAGAATAAAAATTTATTTATTTATTAATTAAATTAAAAATAACGAGCAAGAATAAATTTTCATTCTTTGTTTTTGTATTTGAGTCCATTAACGTCAGTTCAATTTTATTTATTTTTTCATAAGTTTAACTAGAAAACCACGTGGTATTGTGGCTTTAATATATATTCTCCAAATTTAATTTGACAAATCAATTCTGATCTCTTTCTGGGAAATACACAAATGTCCTATTTCCTCTTATAGCAGTGGTAGCCAAAATTAAAAATAGGAGTTTGTTAGTAAGTTGCAAGATAGAATGGCACAAAAAGTAATTAGATATATTTAATATATTCCTTTTAAAATGTCTTTTATTGAATAATCGTTGGAGGTTTTTTTTATCGTCAAACAGCATAATAAAGACTTCAAGCCATTAAAAGCATTTAGAACCGTAAAACACTCATTAGAGAAAGGTAATACGTGTGAATCCGTAAGCCACAATTGTTATGCAGACATAAAGATATCTTCGAACAAAATTGCAACCTTACTGAACCACAAACATAATTCTATTAATTATTACATCACTGTGTGTCGAGTGGCTAGCATTGGTCGAGTCCTGGTCTGAACAGATATCCCAAATTATAGAAAATCAGTTTTTCTCATTACCATCGTGCCTCGGCATGGAATGTCAAGCACTCCGAATGATTTCTGTTGTACTAACCAAAGATCCTCATTTTGGTTTAGTATAAAACATCGAGACGCCCACCACAAACTGTGTCGAAAATCGCTTCAGTTTTATGTTTATATGTACATATATATAAAAAAAGGGAAATCAAATAATGAATACTATTTTTTCAAATATATCGGTCGGCTTCGCGGAAGAAAAGTTACTGTTTATCATAAACAAATTTCTATCAGCGCGGTAGCGCTCACCATTCACAGTTACGTGAAGATTCTCATTACCTTTGAAGAAGTACGGTCCAATGATGCCATCAGCAGATAAACCGTACCAAACTGTGACTTTTTCTGAATGCACTCATTGCTCATTGAATTTCGAGATTTTTTTACATTTAGCATGACTTCGTCAAACTTTGAAGAAGAAACGTAGTTTAAAAAATTAACGCTACTTGCGTTGAACCAGAAGAGCATTACAATGGCCAACTCGAATCCTTGGAGATTTGTATAATATAAAAGCATTAAGACAAAAATGCCAGATTTCTAATTGATATTCGCGAGCGAAGCTTTGATTTATTTAACAGAAAATCTTTTGCCAGATTTTCAAGAAAAACCCTAAAAAATTTAAGTAATTTTCCTTGATCTAATATCATCAAAGACTCTATCCATATCTGTTGACCATAAAATTATCCAGGTGAAAAAAGATCGCATTAATACAACACTTGTCGTATTTTTAAGTGCCTGCATTAGTTTGAAGATATATATATTAAGACTTCATTTAGTCTATTATTTATATTTAGTATTCTATGCATTTCAATTACGGTTGATTTCATCTGTTTTTAAAAACAACAATTGGGTCATAAAAATGTTAAAATAATTCGTAAAAATAATATTTGTCAGTCTAAAGCTGAACCAGTTAAAAGTTCGGTCAAACGGCCATAATAGAGACGGCATAACACGAATATTTTTCACTTCACTCTTGATTGATAATAAACTAATAAGGGAAAATAGAATAAATTTTAGTAAAGAAAACAGAAGAAAAGATTTGTTTTTGTTTTTAAGATTCGATCTTACCTTCTTTTTGAAATTTTTAACAGAAAACTCTGAAATTTTACAAAAGATTGGCCCATCTACCCGAAGAAAAATTAATGTTCTAACCTAATCAAAAAGGTAATCTTTGCACGTTCAAGTAAATTGAAATAAAAAATATGATTTTTATTAAATAAGTCGGTCCCTGGTTCATTGTCCGGAAAATTATTTCCTTACAAAACTTATAGGCAACCAAAGGATCAAAAAAACAATTAATTTTTTGTCTCGAAAGGGAGATAAATTGAGATAAATTAAACTCTTCCTGATTTTTACCAGTGTTAACAATGATGAATTGGAATCTCACCTATGTTGTGTACACCTCCCTCCGTTCCCTTTTCATATGAGTAGGTAACACATAAAATTAGGTAATAAACAACATTTTCGGATTTGGAGTAATGATTATCCACAAGCCATTGCTGAGACGCCGTTACTTTTTCTAAAAGCTGCTGTTTGGACCTCTCTATGGGTAGAGGAAATAATATTTCTTCAGAAATGAATCCAGGAGCAAACGCCATAGAGCCATGTCTAATGACTTTTCCTTGTCTGAATTGGATGTTGATATGGACAGCCTTTGATTCCATGCCATGGTTCCTACGAATCAATTAATTTTTTGAAGTAAGCTCTGGGTGAGGGAATCACCTCGCATCGTGGGCGTGTGGCGTGACATCCAAAATCGCACGATTTAACTGCACTGGAATATGTTTTTTTTTTAGTTTTTTTTAGGGGTTATGTGAAATCGCTTGTATATGCAAATAAGACCGAGGCGAAACGCGCCTTAGAAGAGAATATTCGGTGCGTTACAGGGCTCCAAGTGCGGCAAAAAGTAGTAGAAAATTGGACCTTTCGGTTGGAATTTGTATGAGGTGGCATCGGCGGTGGCTTTACTGAAATCATTTTTAAAACATTTTGTAAAAACTTTGCCTTTATAATAAATTCTTGGCCATAACAATAAATCGCATGGTTTGTATTTCTTCTTGCAAATCACATATCTGATAAAAAACGCCTCTTAGATTTCAAAAAAATACTCAGAAAAACGCTTTAAAAAATATTGCATCAAGTTCGAAAACTGCTTATTTTGGTTATAACTTAATAAGCTTATGTAATTTTTTTTTGTCTAACGGTTCATTTTTACCAGTAAAATTATGTTCGAACCAAAAATTACACTTTTCTTTGATTATCAATGCTGTGAATACTCTGCTACATAAATAGCCTATTAAAGGTTTTACAAATATTCTTTCTTTCAAAACTTATTCATACTTAAAGTTTATTAAGTTTGCAGTAAAATAATGCACTAATATATAAATAACTATATTTTTGTTTTATATTATATTTACTACATATGCCTTATCCTTGTCATTTCAAACTTGGAAATCTAGCAATTACGTATGAAATGAAAAGAAATATTTGCGAAAATAAAAAAGTAGCTGACGCAATTTTAAGCAATTCTGGTAGGGATGGCAGTTGTTCCATTGTCTTGCTTTAAACCACAAAACAAATTTTAATACGCACACCTTATGATTCACGGCTTTGCGCTGTGCGGTGGTAAATGAGGCACCGTCAAAAAACGTCTCGCATTTATACCATGTCACCGACTCCAATTAACTAAAGCACCGTCTAAGAGATTGCCAAAAAAAAAAAAAACACGGTTGAATTTAAATTAAAGTACATAATTGAAATTGAATTTAATTGCTTTCTTATCAGCGTACAACAATAAATTCACGAGTTATTTGCCTCACAGGTGAATCAATAACAAGTGCGTTTGTTTGATAAGGAAACAATTGAAAAATTCCATTATTAACCGGAAATAATTCAATTTATCAGCTAATAAAAAAATTTTAAATTTTTAGTAAAATTTATTTATTTAAAAAAAAAAAACAATTTTGTTCATACATAAGTACGAGTATATCATTCTTCTTTGCCTTAAAAATATACAAAAAAAAATAATAATAAATAATCAGCTAATAAGAGTATTTGATATTGAGAAAAGGCATTTATATTTATTATTTTGCTATTTTTAAATAAAATTGCTTCCGAGCATTCAGTCACATACATATGGTGATTTGGCTTTCACTGATTTCTTTCATTGATATTCAGTCATGACTTTTCAAGTTTAATTTGTTTTAATTCTTAGAAATATTTCAGCAATCAAATATGAGGTAAATAAGTTCTCACAAGTAGCTGCTTGTATTCTTGAATTATAAAAAAAGTTAAAAATATTTAAAATTATAAAATAATTTCTAATATAATAATACATTGCTATATTTCGGCTATTTAATCAAATTTAATAAATTAAATGGTTTTTTTTAACATTAAGCTAAAATAATGAAGTTGATTTAACAGTTAAGTCTAAATTGTTTTTTTTTTTATTTATTTACTGAAACGTCGTGACAGTTTGGAATGAATCCGGGAACGACTGCGTTAGATCGCGGCTACACTTTCCTCGTACACTGAAAACCTACAGATTTTCTCATTATGATTAATTGGCATTTTGTAATCGCTGAAGCGAATTCGGGTTGAGGTCCTCCGACAATTTATGAAAAGCATTTTGAAGTTTTCCAACAAATAGAGGAACCTTTAGTTTATTCTAAGTATGGTCGAGTTTTATTAGGAGGCTTTATTTCATGTCATAAATACACAAGGAGGCGTTGAAATTCCCTGCTTATTTT